GCAATCTACTTCTGTAGTGATACTGCCTCAGAAACCCAAGGAGGGGTCGCTATGAGTTGGGTCTGACTTGACGGCACATAACAACAACAACAACATAGTACACAAAGCTGAGGCTCTAAGTATTGCTAACTTCCAGAATCAGGGTTATGGGGCAGCACGAGGATGTGAGCTCTACAAGGGCAGTGTTCTTTTTTTCTGTTTGGCTCTTTGCTAAGGTACCAGCACTTAATACTGCCCCTCATACCCATTTGTGGCTGAGTGAGTAAACTGTGGTCCCATGAAGCAAACCAGGATAACAAAAGGCTGTTATCCTGGCTCTATGTGGCAAATATACAGCACAGATGGGGTGGATGGAGCAAAGGAACACACTCCCCAGATCTGTTACACAGTTGGCTTTCCAGCCTTCTCCAAAACAAGCCCAGCAAGGGCTCTGCGCCGGTGGCTTTGCCCTTCTCAGGCAGTGAGCAGAGGCAGGCAAGCTCCTCGCCTGCCATGCTGGGCCCGCTGCTGCTGCCTGCTGAAGCTTATGCAATCTCACTCAAAGCAGTGATTCATAAGCCTCTTGCATTGCAGACCCTTTGAGAATCCAATGGAAACCACAACTCTTCCCCTGATTTTTTTTTTTCTTTCACAGATTCACAAACAGGATGAAGAAGCCCCTGAAGCCCCTCCATAAAACACAAACAAGAGAATTTGAGGCAAGTCAATCTTAAAAATAGTTTTGTTGTTATTGCTTTCTCTTTTCAGATTAAAGAAATGTCTGAATATAGACAAAAGCAGAGAGAATAGTGAACCACCACAGACAACAAGCATCAATATTCTGCCATTCCTCTTATGTTCATTCCCCCAACGTTTTTTGTTTTTTTTTTTTAATTTTGCTCTTGCTAGAATATTTTAAGAAAATCTGAAATGGCTTTTAACCCTGTCTGTAAATACTACAATATCTATCCAATGGATCAGGACTTTTTTTCTTCTTTAAAGAAAATCATAAAACTATTTCATACCCAACAAAATTAACAAGAATTCCTTACTATCATCTAATACCCAGTCCCTGATTATCTCAAAAATAACCTTTTGACTGTGATTACTTTGAATCTGGATCTAAACAAGGGGCTAGGCATTGAATTAGGTTGGTGTATTTATTAAGGTAAGAATCAGTTTCTCCTGCACGGGTGAAAGCCACACAGTAGAAAGCTTTTTTCATGAAGGTTGAGGTGTGTATGGGAGACTAAGTTAATGAAAAGTACTGCAAAATTTAAAAACTGAGGACTTTGTAGAATTCTTGCTTCTTATCATAAAAATAATAATGAGATGAGAGTCTAGCCTTCTCTTCACCACAGTGGCCAGGTACTCATTGTACTTAATAGGTCAGAGACACAGTTCTTATCTGAATCTGGTTGCACATAAATTGTGTATAGCCTACTGAGCATCTCCATTTGATGTGACTCTCTCTTTCTCTTTCTTGGCTAAGATAAAAATAAAAATAGTCAGTCAAGTTAAACAGAAAATCTAAACCCCTCAAATATACCCTTGCCTACTCTGTGGGAAACATGCCAGGTTCCTCACGCTCTTCCTCAGTTTTCGATATATTAACCCCCAAATGTAATGGGATTACCTGCTGCCTTCCTTGTATATCCAGCGCTGATGACTATCATCAGACTTCTTCTCTACCAAAACCACTTCAGTGCCTGAACGGAGGTTGGGACCTTGTACCCCCAAGACAAGCTGAGAAGCAGCGTGGTTTATAATCTGCCCGTCTCTGTATTCAAACTGCTGATGGCAAAGCTTCTGCGATTTACTATGCCTTGGTGAACAGTTGAAATAAAGAAAACCTCATTAGTGGCAGAAAAATGCCCTGTGCACTTGATGTAGTGTAGCTTGTAGGTTCCGTTGGCAAGGGACCCGCTGTGAATCATATTAACATATAACAGGAAGGCATCAGCCTGCTAACAGCAGCAATGCCATTAGCATTACGCTTCCAAGCTGATGTAAAAGATGGAATTCTGAGTATATTCTGTAACTGAAATAAATGTTTATCCATGTGATCATTTGAGTAATTTATCAGCAGAGAAAAAAGAAGTTCAGGTGAAGAGGTAATTTAGTGAGAGAGGAAGACAGCTGCTAAAAAGAAGTAGGAGAATGAGGGGGGTGTCATGGATGGAATTGTGTTGCCCAAAATGACACACTGCAGTCCTAACCTCTGAAGTGCTATGTGTGACCTAGTGTGAGGAAATAGCGTTCTTCTGTGTAACTGCTATCAGTTAAACTAATGAAGTTACTTACTAGAGTAGAGTGAGTCCTACTGCCAGTCCCTTCTGAGGGGTGTTTTGTAAGATAAGCAGACACAGAAACAGAGTCCCATAGAGTCAGACACAGAAACAGAGTGACAGGGAGAAGACAGCGTGTAAGGATCTGTCTACAGGGCAGGAGAAGCCAAGGACTGCCAGCAGCCACCAGCAGCTAGGAGAGGAGAATGGACAGACAGTGCCTCTCCCCAAGACCTCAAAGGCACCAGCACAGCAGAAACTCTGAATTTGGACTTTCCCCTCCGAAACTGGGAGAAAATACATTTCTGTTCTTTAAAGCCACCACCTTTGTGGCATTTTGTATGGCAGTCCTAGGAAACTAAGATGGGGGATATGAAATCAAATAGAGACAAACAAGGGAGTTCTGCTCAAATTATGACTGTTTCTATTATCTCTGTACAGTATTCCTGGCAAATAGAATACTATTCTCCAAGTTCCTTAATCTCTCCTATTCACAAAATATAATGGTTTTATGAATGCTAAACTGGGTAGTTTATTTTTAAAAATCTTTTATTTGAGGACCTTAAAGTATTAAGCAGCTTATTAAACTTATTAAACATTACAATATGTTATCACTTTTTTCATAAACATCTATTAAGCACCTACTGTATGTACAGAATAATGCTAAATGTTGAAGCACCAAAATAATTTAATTCACAACTTTGAGTAAGTGCTATTAGATTAAGCAAATAACTAAAAATTGTGGAATAAGAAAAGGTACTTATAGATGCCTGCCATTTCTTCTGAAACTGATCAGAAAAAATAAAAATTAGAAAATAAGAAAATACATTGTATTAATTTATCAAAGACATCTGGGCATCTTCATGCTTACTCATAAGTCCACTCAAGCATTCATTCAACAAATATGGAAGCCCTGTAAATATTCAAGAGGCAAAGGCAGATAAGCCTATTGTTTAATAGAAAAGACACACCTGTGAACAGAAAACTACACTGCAAAACTAAAAGAGAAAGGCTTTCCTATAAATAATTGCAAACACCTTAATTAAAAATATAAGAGAGACTAAAGGTGTATGTAGATTTAAAACAGTAGCTAACAGCAGTGTTAACCCTCAGGGATATTTTTGCCCCACAGTAAACAAATCTAACACCAGGTAGAAATCTCTTAAGTTTTACCTGCATTTCTTCTGTGGTTTCACTTTTTCAGAGAGCTCGTCTTCCATTTTCTTTGGGAGACTGTCATTCTCATCAAAGTCAGGAGGCGCTTCCTGCCAGGCGTACTTGAGAAGGGTGTGACAAGCCTTCATCCGGAGGTGGGTTCTCGCATGTGCGTCTCTATCAAGGTTCAGAAGAAAACATAAGTCTAAGAGCTCTGATGTGGCCTCACAGAATTTTCTCTGAGGAGTAGTCTGATCGTATCCTGCAGGATACTTGTAGATCTGTAAGTCTTATTTCCACAGAGATGCCCAACATCAAAAATCCACATCCTACGATAAATAATTAGATCTTTTAATGTAAGGCTTCAAATACATTTCTTCTATCATGTAATAAATAGCATTCATCCTTATGGGATGAAGAAGTAGGGCCATGTATTATATTTCAAAAATACAAATATTAAGACTAGTCAGCAGTTTAAGGAGCTCTGGTGGTGTAGTGGGTAAGGCATTTGGCTGCTAATCCCAAGGTTGGTGGTTCAAATCTACTAGCTGCTCTGCAGGAGGAAGATGAGGGAAACTACTTCTGTGAAGATCTATAGCCTTGGAAACTCTATGGAGGTTGCTATGAGTTGCAATCAACTCTATGGCAATGGGTTTAGTCATCAGTTTAAGAAGTTAATAACTAACATGTAATAAGACTTCCTCTGTTTACCCCAAAAATGTGTCATAATTCTGTCTGTAAACAGTACAGTGTGGATTACTGTGTTTCATAAACTTCACTCATTAGATATTGTTAAGAAATCTTAATGAACTTTTCCTCTGAATAGAGAAATCAAAGGAGAATCAAATAGCATTGGTACATAACAGCCAACGTTTAATAAAGAATAATATACTGAGACATTCAGGGTAAATACTAAGAGTGAATAATTGAGACAGCCGTCTAGCTTATTAAGATGAACATGTGATCAGGAACAGTGGCCACCACATAGATTCATATATAATGTTCTGGGCCACTGTTTTGGACACATTTGCCTTCGGTCAGAATTATGACACAACGTGAGGTCTGCTTGGCTGAAGGCAAGATAAGCATTTGGGAAAGCAGCAAGCATATTTCAGTACTCTAAACATGCCTATGTGTAAATAAAGTTCTCTGGGGGAGGCTGTGATCGCCACAGTGCCTGTGATAATTTCATGTAATTACAAGCAATATCAAATTACAAAACTCTTCAGGGACAATTCCCTGGGTTAGCAGAGCTGACCGCACACTTTTCAAATGTAGCAAAAGTATCACACAGCGCTACAAAACTTTCAGAACCAGAGACTTCTCAAGTCAAAAATCTCACTAACAGCTAAAAAGCAACAGTGCCACCTTGTGTTCAAACTCAGAAAGACAGCTTTCCCATCAACCCCATTCCTTTAAAGAAAAAACAAAGTCCTTAGTTTTAATATATTTAGAAAGATGCTAATAAGATTCTTCTCTACAATCTAGATGTTTCATTTTATTATTTGAAATTTATTTATCTATTGAGTTATTGGGGTAAATATCGTACTACCTGGCAAAGGAAGTACTGTCAAGTCAATTTTAGAACAGCCATTTTTAAACCATCTTACGATATTAATCCATTCATTTGTTCATTACTTCATTTGTTTACCTGATAACTTATTATTTATTCATTCATTCCTTTAACTAATATTTAGTGAGCATCTGCTACATGACAATCAATGAGTTATAAGTGGTGGGGATACAGTGATGAAAAAACAGGTAAGTTATCAGGTCTCATGGAGCTTACATTCTAATGGGAAGGAGACAGATAATGAACAAGTACATGTTCATTATAAATGATAAATAAACAAGATAAATGCTATAACTTGAGGAAAACAGAGTAGTGTGATAGAAATTGACTAGGGTGGGGTGGATAATTTTAGTTGTGGTGGAGCCACAGAAAAGTCCTTGGAGAGGTGATATTCAAATTGAGGCCTGAACGATGGGAAGGAGCCAGCCATGGGAAATATGAGGGGAGAATATTCCAGGGAGAGAAAAAACACATTGAAAAACAACACTCACTGCTGTTGAGTCGATTTGACTCATAGCAACCCCTCCTTGGATTTCTAAGGCAGTATCTCTATGAATGTAGATTGCCCAGTCTTCCTTCCAAGAAGTGGCTGGTGGGTTTGAACCGCCAGTCTTCTGGTTAGCAGTCAAATGCCTTAGACACTACACCAGCAGAGCTTCTAAAGAACACATAGGAAGACCCTAAAGCAAAAATAATTCTGGTCCGTTTGAGGAACAGAAAGATGGTTGTGAAGAGGATGCAGTGAATCTGGAAGGGAAGAGTAAAGAGAGGCTCAAAAATTGGCCAGGGCTCTGGTAAGTCAGTGAGCACTTTCCCCTGGAGTTCTCTGTCCAAAATGCCTCCTCTTGCACAAAGCATCACTGCAGAGCCTAGTGCTTCTAGAGTTCCTTTTCCACTTTGCTTCTTATCATTTTTACCAGGCACCTTTACATAGAGCTGCTTCTAGATTTATGTTCTAGCCTTTTGCTTTATGGATGTCCCTCCTTAAATCACCCCATTTCTCAAATATGTGAAGGATTCCAAACAAAGCTAGTGCCACATATCTATGAAAGGCTGAGAATCCTTGCAGTGACTCTCTAATGTAAGATGAATTAGAAGCATGTCATCAGCAATGGTTCAAAGAACTGGTGAGCTTTAGCCTGGAAGAGAGATACCATGGAAGACTAATGATGGCGAGCTTGGACAGTTTTCAGCTCTTTTGAGAAAAAGGGGATTAGGGGATGGTATAGAGAAAGGTAAAATGATAGGGTGGAGATATTCCAAATAATTATTTATGTATACACTAGAATGGCCTGCCTTGTAAAATAGTGATTTCCCTGTTTTGGGGAGTAACCAAAAAGAGGCTGGATCGGAGAAAGGCTGCTGGGAACATGCAGACTTCTGCATTGTGTTGTGGGTGGACTCAATCATTTTAACCTCCAGGCCTTGATGAAATCTATGAATCAGAACTGTGCAGATTTTTGCTCTCAATGACATTTCTTTCTTATTTTGTTAGTTTTTGTTTGTTATTTTCCCTCATGTGCCCTCTAACAATGAAGACGCTAGATGACACATTCTTTAGAAAAAGTATGGAAGGTAAAACACTTTATTGAGGGATGTTAAGAAACCAAAAAAAACCAAACTCACTGCCATCGAGTCAGATCCAACTCATAGTGACCCCTCCTTGGGTTTCTGAGGCAGTATCACTAGGCATGTAGACTGCCCAATTCTACTTCTGAGGAATGGCTGATGGGTTCCAACCAACTGCCAGCTTTCTGGTTAGCAGTCAAATGCCTTAGGCACTACGCCACCAGAGATCCCAATGTTAAGAAAGTTTATGGCAAATTCTGTAACCATTAAAGAAGATGCCAGATGGCTCAAGTCATATACTCTCTCTGAAAAATGACTTCTGATGACTTTTTCAGTGTCAAAATGTAGGAGCAGATGACTCTTCCATCAAAGAAAAAATATTGGTTCCTAAAATAAAAGCTGATACAATCTAGCATAAAATCTTTTTAGATAGTTCATAACAATGACATGTAAGTTAATTTTCACAATTATTGCAACATTAATTAACCAGCTATGTTTGGTTTACTATTTGGAATCTCATTCAGTCACTTATTCATTTATTCAATAAATAATTCTTAAAGCCAGTTACTCTGCTCTTCACAGGGCATATGTAACAGAGTGCTTGCCCTTAAGGAGTTCTGAGGTTCTGGCAGGGAGACTGATAAATACATTGCTGCACATAATCATTGCCCTGATGGATTTCAGTGATGAAGAATCATTCTCCAGGTGAGTACAGGGTAAGTAAAGGCTCTCCAGGTGGAGAGAAATGAGTATGTAGCTCAGGAGCCTTGACAAACCCAAAAAACCAAACACATTGCCATCAAGTCCACTCCAATCCCTAGCAAACCTGTACGACAGAGTAGAACTGCCCATGGGGTTTCCAATGCTATAAGCTTTATGGAGGGAAGGTTGGGCAATCCTACTACCGTAGTGATAATGCCTCGGAAACCCAAGGAGGGGTCGCTATGAGTCAGGGCTGACTTGACGGCACATAACAACAACAACAACTGGTAGCATAGTGGTTAAAACATTTGGTTGCTAATCAAAAGGTTGGTGTTTCGAGTCTACTAGCTACTCTGAGGGTGAATGATGAATCTGCTTCTGAGTCAGAATTGACTCGATGGAGTGGGTGTTCTGGTTTCAGTCTTTACAGAAGCAGACTATCACATCTTTCTCCTAGGGAGTGGCTTGTATGTTCGCAATGTCAACCTTTCAGTTAGCACCCAAGCGCTTAACCAGTGCACCACTAGTGCTCCTTTGCAGGGGCCTGCAGTAGAGAAGGAGTATGCCACATTCAGGGGACACCTGTAGTGGCTGAGCTAAAGCTGGAAGAAAAAGTAAGGAGGGGAAGGAAGCAGCCATGGGGGCCAAGGTCAGGCCTGGACCAGGTAGGAAGGCTGTGTATTCCAGACTAATTTTTTTTCTTTTCTGTCTGCAATAGAGTGTTATTGGAGTATACTATGGAAAAGATTGTGTTTTAGAAAGACAGTTGTCCATAGACATGAGGTGAATCTGCAAGGGAGTGCAGAGATAGGAAGACCAATCAGGAAGCTGTTACAATGGTCCAGGTGAAAGGCTGACAGATGCAAGTCAACACTGAGTCTAACTTGAACCTACACCAGGGAAGAAGCTGCTTTTTTTCCTAAAATCAGAGGTTATGGAACAAAACGTGGTTAATTCTTCAAGTGACTGTTTAAAATTCTAAGCTTCTAGTCTTTTAAAAATAATACCATTAAAACAAAATTGCTGAAAGTAGATCATTGAAACTCCACTTCTGTCCTTTTGCCAGAAAACTAATTAAATTCTAGCTCTTCACCTGACATTAGTTTCACAAACTTGCCTTGCTTTCCCTGCATGGGCTCTGGTCTGTTAAAGGGCTAATGAGCTGAGTTCAAACAGCAACTCCGTAGCTTTTCTGGCCACACTGATTACTTACAGAATTTCACCAGAGGCATTTTCCCTTGTTGCAGCGTTTTTTCCCATTTGCTTTTCCTCTGTGTCTACAGTTTGCTTCTCTTCTCTGAAATTGGCTACAGGTTTATGCACAGCAAGCTTGGCTCCGGGGACAATATCACTCTGGACTTCTAAAACGAGAGCTGAGCAGAAATGCACAAATTGCAAGGACATATGAGCGATGTGTGCAGAGCCCCGAGTAGGTGAACCCAAACCCAGGCAAACCCAACCCACTGCCAGCAAGCCGGTTCCAACTCATTGCGACCCGATAGGATGGTATAGAACCATAGAGTTTCCAAGGCTATAATCTTTATGGAAACAGACGGCCTCATCTTTTTTCCAGGGAGCAGCTGGTGGGTTCAAACTTTAACCACTGTGCCCCCCCAGGGATTCCAGGAATGGAGCACTAAAATAAAATGAAAAAAAAAAAAAAGAAGAAGTTTCCAGCTATTTGAACTACAAGGAATAATTTTAAGGGTAATTGAGAGTTTCTTTTTAAAAATAATGTTATTTTATTAGTAAACTAATATTGTATTTCTCTTAATGTTTTTTTTAATTCTTACTGTGACTTGGGCGAAAGTCTACAGAGCAAACTCATTTTACATACAGCATTTCATACACATTTTGTCTCATGACATTGACTGCTATTTCCCACAATGTAACAGCTCTCTTCCCACTTCCTCCCTATAGTTGCCTCTTCCCTGTGTCCTTCCCTACCATGTACTCCTGTTCCCCCCCAGCTGACTCCCTGTGCATACACTGCCCCTCAGTTCTCCCATGATTGATCTCTCCAAGGAGTGTATCCATCTAATGTAAATGTTCAACCCGTATGCCTGACTATTGTTTGGCTGGAAGCTATAGGAGTGAGTTCAAATTCCAAACCTGAAGGGTAGCTAGGGGCCATAGTCTCAGGGGTTTCACCAGGTTCTATCAGACCAGAAAAACTGGTCCTTTTTTAAAAAATAATTTTGAGTTTTGTTCTACATTATTCTCCCTATCTGTCCAGGATTTCCTACATATATCCTCCTCCAAGTGGTTGACATTGGTAGCTGGGAACCATCTAGTTCTTCTGGTCTCATGGTCAAATAGGCTGAGGATCTCATGGTCCACCAGTCCTTTGGACTAATTGTTTGTATGCTTCTTTGGTTTTCTTCATTCTTCTTTGCTCTGGACAAGAAGAGATCCATTGTTGCATCTATATGGCCACTTGCAAGCTTTTAAGATCCCAGCCACTACTCACCAAAGTAGGATGTGGAACAATGTTTTTGTGTAGTATGTTATACCAGTGGAGCTTGATGTCCTCTGGGACCATGGTCCCAAGCCCAGAGGTCCACTTACTTGGTCCCTCCAGATAGCTGGCTGTGGCCAAGAAGTCATCACAACCTTGTCCCTTGTCAGCTCTACTATATACATAAACATTCTTACAGAACATACAAATATGCTTGTAGAAACATCTGCCAACCCTATACATGGTCATGGGCACACATATCTCTGCCTAGACATACCTGATCATTCAGCCTGTCCCCCCTTCTATCCCCCCATAGATCAATGTTTGCCATCACAGACAATGCAGTACAGTATGTACAAAAGGGTTCATCTTTGTTGTCTGTATCTCCTATGTACCTATCTATGTCTTCCTCTTCCTCAATGTCACCATGTTGATCACTCAAATATGGTACATTGCCCATACCTTCATCCAAATCAGTACTTGTCTCTACATATCTAGCAGTGTTCCCTCTCCTACCCTCCCACCCCTTGTAACCAACAAAGAAAGTTTCCTTCCCTATATAAACCTTTCCTTGATTTTTCACAATAGTGGACTAATATACTATTTGTCCTTCTGTGATTAACTTATTTCACTCAGCATAATATCCTCCAAGTTCATCCACATTATGCAGTGTTTTGCAGATTCTATGTTATTCTTTAGGGTTGCATAGTATTCCATTGTGTGTATGTACCATAGTTTGGTTATCCATTCCTCAGTTAAGGGACACCTAGGTTGTTTCCATCTTTTGGCTATTGTGAACAGTACTGCAGTGAACATGGGTGTGCATATATCTGTTCTTGTCCTGGCTCTCACCTCTTTAGGATATATACCTAGTAATGGGAGTGATGGAATTTCTAATTCCAACTTTTTAAAGAATCATCATACTGCTTTCCACAGTGGTTGTATAATTTTACAGTCCCATCAGCAGTGTATGAGAGTCCAATCTCTCCCCATCCTCGCCAGCATTTGTTATTTTCTGTCTTGTGGAACTTTGCTACTACTGCTTGGGCAGGATGGTATCTCATTGTTGTTTTGAGTTGCATCTCTCTAATGGCTAAAAATCGTGAGCATTTGTTCGTATGTTTGTTGGCCGCCTGAATATCCTCTTTGATGAAGTGTCTATTCATGCCTTCTGCCCATTTTTTAATTGGATTGTTTCTCTTTTTGTTGTTGAGCTGTTGGAGTTTTCTGTAAGTTTTAAAGATAAGTCTCTTGTCAGATATGCCATAGCCAAATATTTTTTCCCAATCTGTAGGTTCTCTTTTGACTCTTTTGCAGAAGTCTTTGGAAGCACATAAAAATGTACTTTTTAGAAGTTCCCATTCATATATTTTATCTTCTGCTGTTTGTACATTTTGGGTTATGCTTGTTAGTCTATTTATGCCATATATTAGGTCCCCTATATTTGCCTCTAGTTTTTCCTTAAGGAACTTTATAGTTTTACATTTCACATTTAAGTCTTTGATCCATCTGGAGTTAGTTTTTGTGTATGGTGTGAGGTATGGATCTTGTTTCATTTTTCTGCAAATGGGTATCCAGTTTTGCCAGCCCCATTTGTTAAACAGACAATCTGTTCCCCATTGAATGGATTTCAGCCCTTTGTCAAAAATCAGCTGACCATAGGTGGATGGATCTATTTCTGGGCTCTCAATTCTATTACACTGGTCTATGTGTCTGTCCTTGTACCAATACCATGCCATTTTGACTATTGTAACTGGATAGTAAATTTTGAGATCTGGGAGTGTGAGACCTCCTACTTTGTTCTTTTTCTTCAATAATGCTTTGCTTATCCAAGGTCTCTTTCCTTTCCATATAAAATTAGTAATTGGTTTTTCCATATCCTTAAATAATGCTGATGGAATTTGGATTTGGATTGCATTTTAAGTATAAATTGCTTTGGGTAGTATTGACATTTTCATAATGTACAATCTTCCTATGCACGAGCATGGTATGTTCTTCCGATTACGTAGATCTCTTAGGTTTCTTGCAGTAGTGCTTTGTAGTTTTCTTTGTACAGGTTTTTGTGTCCCTGGTTAAGATTTATTCCCCAAATTTTTTTTTGGTAGCTATTGTAAATGGTATTGATTTCCTTATTTATTTCTCAGCAATCTCTTTGCTGGTGTAGAGGAATCCAACTGATTTTTCTATATTGATTTTGTATCCTGCCACTATGCTAAATCTCTCAATTAGTTCCAGTAGTTTTTTTGCTGAGTCTTGGGTTTTCTATGTGTAGGGTCATACCATCAGCAAATAGGGATTGTTTGACTTGTTTGTTACCAATTTGGATGCCTTTGATTTCCCTTTCTTGCCTTATTGCCCTGGCTAGGACTTCCACTACAATATTGAATAAAAGTGGTGATAAGGATAATCTTGTCTGGTTCCTGTTTGCAAGGGAAAATGTTTCAGTCTCTCTTCATTGAAAATAATGTTGGCTGTTGGTTTTGCATATATGCCCTTTATTATGTTGAGGAATGTCCCTTCTATTCCTATTTTGCTGAGAGTTTTTTTAATCAGGAAAGGGTATCGGACTTTATCAAATGCTTTTTCTGCATCGATTGATATGATCATGTGGTTCTTTTCCTTTGTTTTATTTATGTGATGGATGACATTGATTGTTTTTCTAATGTTAAACCATCCTTGCACACCTGCTATGAACCCCACTTGGTCATAATGTATTATTTTTTTTCATATGTTGTTGGAGTCTATTGGCTAGGATTTTGTTGAATATTTTTGCATCTATATTCATGAGGGATATTGGTCTGTAGTTTTCCTTTTTTAGTGATGTCTTTGCCTGGTTTTGGTAGTAAGGTTATACTTGCTTCATAAAATGAATTTTGGAAGATTCCATCCTTTTCAATGTTCTGGAATAGTTTGACTACCACGGGTGTCAGTTCTTCTCTGAACATTCAGTAGAATTTGCCAGTGAAACTATCTGGGCCAGGGCTTTTTATGTTGTTGTTGGTAACTTTTTTTTTTAATGACCTGTTCAGTATCTTCTTTTGTTATGGGTCTGTTTAAATTTTCCACCTCAGCCTCTGTTAATTTAGGTACATACCATGTTTCTAGAAATCTGTCCATTTCTTCTAGATTTTCGTATTTGTTAGGGTACAGTTCTTCTTAGTATCCTGATATTATTCTTTTAATTTCTGTTGGTTCTGTTGTGGTGTCACCCAGTTCACTTCTTATTCATGTTATTTGTATTGTCTTCATCTTTTCCTTTGTTAAATTTGCCAGTGTTTTGTCAATTTTATTAATCTTTTCAAAGAACCAACTTCTAGTATTGTTCATCTTTTCTATTGTCTTTCTATTTTCCATTTCATTTATTTCTCTTCAAAACTTTATTATTTCTTTTCTTCTGGTGACTGTGGGCTTTTTTTGCTGCTCTTTTTCTAATTGTTTGAGATACTGGGCTGAAGTGTTGATTTTGGCTTTTCTTTTGTGATGTGTTCATTTATTGCTATAAATTGCCCTCCAATCACTGCTTTTGCTGTGTCCCAAAGATTTTGGTATGTTGTGATTTCATTCTCATTTGGTTCAAGGAATTTCTTAAGTTCATTTTTTATTTCTTCTATTACCCAGTCATTTTTAAGAAGGGTGTTATTCAGTTTCCATGTGTTTGCTCTTTTTCCATTGATCTTCCTATTGTTGATTTCTAATTTGATAACACTGTGATTTGAAAAGATGCATTACAGTATTTCAATGTTTTTTAAATTTATTAAGGCTTGCTTTATGGTCTAATATATGGTCTATCATGGAGAATGTTCCATGTGCACTGGAAAAGAATGTATATTGTGCAGTTGGGTGAATTGTTCTGTAGATGTCTATAAGGTCAAGTTGGTAAACTATATTGTTTAATTCTTCTGCATCTTTGTTGAGTTTCTTTCCAGTTGTTCTATCTTTCATTGAAAATGGTGTATTAAACTTTCCTATGACGACTGTAGAGTCATCCATTTGTCTTTTCAATTTTGTTAAAGTCTGATTTATGTATTTTGGGGCTCTTTCATTGGGTACACAGATGTTTATTATGGTTATGTCCTCTTGTTCAATTGATCCTTAAACCATTATATAATATCTTTCCTTGTCTTTTATGGTGGTTTTTGTCTTAAAGTCAATTTTATCAGAAATTAATATTGCCACTCCTGCTCTTTTTTCATTGCCATTTGCTCAATATATCTTTTTCCAACCTTTGATTTTAAGTCTATTTTTGTTTTTAAGGTGTATCTCTTGTAGACAGCATATTGATGGGTTATGTTTTCTTATCCAGTCTGCAATTCTCTGTCTCTTGAGTAGTGCATTTAATCTATTTACATTCAGTGTAATTATTGACAAGTATGAATTTGTTGTTGTCATTTTCTTATTTATTTGTTTTTTTGTGGTGCTGCTGCTGCTCTCTTTTTTACACACAATTTTCTGTGCTGAGCTCATTTTGTTTATGAATCATGTTTTCATTTCCTTCATTGCTGTTGTTTTAGTTTTTGCTAAATATTTGTGCTTGTCTTCTTTTTTATTGTATTGTGAAGGTTTACTATTTTTCTTTGAGGTTACCCTGTGATTTATAATTTTCTCCCTGAGTTTAGAACAGTCCATTCTATCTTGCAATTCTTTTGACTTCCTCACCATCTAGAAGTTCTGTAACTACACCATTTTTTCCCTCCTTTTGGTAAGTAGCTGTCCTCATTTGCCAATTGATGTCTGTGGTTCTCTGTTTACAATCTTGTAAGCTTATTTTACTTTGGATACTTCCATAATTGAGTTAATTTGGGGGTTATGTCATCATGTGTAATAATGGTAGGCTGTTGTTTGCTGTTATTGGTTCTCTGTCCAAAGGACTCCCTTTAGCATCTTTTGTAAGGTTCGTCTGATTTTAACAAATCACCTTAACATACAGTTATTTGGAAATGTCCTAATTTGAGGGATAAGTTTTTTGGTATATAACTCTTGATTTGAAATTTTTCCCTGTCAGAGTTTTACATATACCATGCCATTGCCTTCTCATCTGCATGGTTTCTGCTGAGAAATCAGAGCTTAGTCTTATTGGCTGCTCTTTGTAGGTAACTTTTTATTTTTCTCGTTCTGCTTTCAGGATTCTTTCTTTGTCTTTGGTTTTTGATGAGTTTGATTATGACATACCTTGGTGATTTTCTTTGGGACTGTATCCTGTTTGGGATTTGTGGGACTTCCTGAATGGATATATTCTCTTCCAACAAATCTTCTACTATTTTCTCTGTGATTTTATTTGTCTCCTCCTGTTCTGGAATTCTGATTACACATAAGTTATTCCTTTTGATGGTATCCCACAGGAGTCTTAGGCTTTTTTCATTTTGTTTTGATCTTTTTTCTGCTTTATCCCTTTCCAAAGTATTGAGGTATTTATCTTTGATCCCACTAATTCTTTCTTCCATTGATTCAATTCTATTCCTTTCAACGTGTTATCTGTTTCTGAAAATTTAGTAATAATCTTCTGGATTTCTATCTGTAGATTTTGTTTCATTTCTAATTTTTCATTTATTTTGTCACTTTGTTCTTATATTTTCTTGCAAAATTGCTCTAGGGTTTTGTCTGTGTTTTTCTTAATTTTGTCAGTGTTTTCCTTGATCTGTCTCTCAATCCATTGAAGGTACCTAAATATAATTCTTTGAAGTCCTTATCAGGGAGTTCCAATGCTGCTTCTTCCTCAGCGATGTGTTCTGGGTCTGTATCCTGGTCCCTTGTTTCTCCTGCTTTATCTTGTTTCTTTGTGTGGACTATGATGGTCTGTTGTCTCTGAGACATTGTGACATAGTTGTATTCATATTTAATTGGTGATTGTATGTTGGAGTGATTCACCCAAGATTTTCATTTTCTTTGTTTTGTTTGGATGTATCTGAGTAAGCAGGGTACTATGCTCCTCTGTTCGCTAGTTGGCAGCACCTGTGCACTCACCACCTGTCTCCTGGTGGGTGTGATGGAGAATGAGAGTGGCTTCACATATCCCTGTTATCTGTTTGTGAAGAGCAGTTAAGGGTAAGTCAGGCTCATATTGGCTGCCTCGTATTATTGGCCAGTTGGTGCAGAAGCAAGTGGTGGCCCTCACTCAGTAGGTGGGTCCTCAGGAGGCACAGGTATGGTTGGGTTATATGGGCATAGGTGCTGTCTTCCACTCAGACAAAACCAACAATCAAAAAATTATCAAAAAAGTAAAAGTAAGAGGACCAGAAACACACAATGCATAAACACACAGGAACAATCACTAAAAGAGAAAGGGGGGGGGGGGGAAGAGGAAAGGCAATAAATGAGATGAAATATTTAAAGAAATACTTTAAAAAGACAAAAGAAATATGAAAAGAAAAACAAAAAAGAATAAAATCCCACAATATCCAGGGAGGGGGAATAAGAGAAAAGAGGTAGAGTAAGAGAATAATGAAGGAAAAATGCAAGGAAAAAAAAAAGGGGGGGGGGAACCAAAAGAAAGAAAAAAAAATGGGAACCAGCAAAAGGGAAGAGAGAAAAAACCAGAAACTTGAACCTGAGAAGGGAAGAAGAAAGACTAAAAATAAAAAGGGAGGATAAGAAGAAAAGAATAATTTCAAAACAAGCAAAAAACAAATCTGGGGGTGAGTGGGTGGGGCAGGGCACCCAGGCCCTGTGAGAGCACACAGACTGGGATGGAATTCCTGCCAGCCCAGAATGTGGGTGGGAGTGAGGGATGGCTGCACCTCCATTCACCAAGAGGGTGTGGGGTATAAGACTAATAAGGGGAATGTTGCACCTCCCAGTCCTCAGCCTCTGGTATGTTCGTGTTGTCCTCAGCAAGTGGAGCCTATCCTTAGGTCTCTGGACTCTGAGAGAACTCTGGCACTTTAAATATCCAAAATTGTCAAACCACTTGTAAACATTCAAAATGGCTGTGCTCTCTGGACAGCCAAAAGTCCACAGCTCAGTTTTTCTCCTTCTTTGCTGTTTCCCCTTTTAGTCATCAGATGCCAGTGTAGTCTTCCTTGCAGCCCTTGGTGAGCAGGGATGATTTTCAGATTAATTCTTAGGTCCTAACACCACTTGGCAATATCCAAACTATTCATGCTGTCAGGATTGCTAACAGTCTACAGCTTCATTTTTCTCCTTAGTCACTATTTTCTGGCAGGTGGAGTTTCTACTAGTTAGAGTTTAGTCCACTTCTGTATCCTTTCTTTCAAAGCTCAAGGTTCCAGGTATCTGTATCAACTGGTTTGTTTTTTCTTTGTTGAAGAGGGTCTGTGTAGTTTGTTTGCTTACTCTGCCATCTTGCTGGAACCAACCCTATTTCTCTTAATTCTTGTAGGTTCTTTCCTCTCAAAGTAATCTTAGGGAACTTTCTTTCTTATATCATTCTCCGGGATTCACTGTCATATTATCCAATAAGTACCCTTCAATTAGCAGCCAAGCACTTAAACATTGTACCACCAGGGGTACTGTTAAACATATAGCCTAAAGAACTAAATAGCAAAATGCAGGAGTAAAATAATCTCTATAAAAAATAAAAATAATAAAAAAAAAACTTGTATTTTTTAAAAAAGCAATAGCATAACAGCATAACAATTTTACTTTGGCTATATATGTTAAAGTTATAAGACCAAAGTTGATGCCTTTGAATGATGATGTTGGGAAAGAATACTGAAAGTACCAAGAACTTCCAGCAAAATGAACAAATCTGTCCTGGGAAAAATGTAGCCAGAATGTTCCCTGGTAGTGAGAATTGCCTGAGTTTGTCATACCTACTTTGGTCATGTTGTCAGAAGGGACCATTCTCTGGAGAAGGATATCATGCTTGGTAAAGTGGAGGATCAGTAAAAAAAGGAAAGACCCTCAACAAGATGGATTGACACAGTGGCTGCAATGATGGGCTCAAGTATAGCAAAGATTGTGAGGATGGCTTAGGACCGAACAGTGTTTCGTTCTGTTGTACAGAGGGTCACTATGAGTAGGAGCCAACTTGAGGGACCTACCAACAACAACAATGTATTAAATATTTCCAATGCTTACTCTCTGTTTTATGCATACTGCAGAAGATTTGAATTTTGGAAACATCTGATGCTAAGTTCTTCAAGAATATTTGCTTCTTTTGCTGAGAAATTGACATGTCAGGATTGATCCAATTTTCTCCACATGAAACGTACACCTGTCAAAGAAACGAGTCTGATTCAAGCAAGTTAAAAAATTATCCTGCTTTAATAAGAAACCCCAGAGACTATGACCCTCAGACATCCTTCAACTCATCCCTGTGGCTCAATATTCAGCCCAACAACAGACAGGCCTATACAGTGAACAATAACACCAGAGAGGTACCACTCCTGAAAACAACTAACCACAAGAGATCAAAAGGGCAGCACTTGACCAGGGATAAAGCTCAGAAGGCAGAGGAGGATAGGAAAGAAGGATAAATGGAAACTGAAAACACAAGGAGAAAGTGGCAAGAGTGGTGTTTCATTGTGGGGACTGCAATCAATGTCACGAATCAAAATGTGTATGAACTGTTGAATGGAAAAACAATTTCCAATGTAAACTTTCACCCAAATCATGAATAAAAAGAAAAAAATATATATCCAGCTTAAAACAAAGAGGTAAACTAAATGAGTTGTAGAGGTTGTCTATGGTTTCATTAACTGTCATAGCTAGTAAATGTCCATAGACTAAGTTGGATCGATGGACAGCTACCTACCCAGGTAGCATTGTTTTGAACCTGTAGAATTACGTTTATTGAATTGAATTTTGGTGCTGGGCCACCAGTCTTCCTTTAAAGATGATACATAAAACAAACTTATGCACAATAAATTGGGACAATTGTGCACAGGCAGTGCTGGGGTTCTGAAGGACAAATCCTACTTGTCCCTTAACATTACCTAAATATGCCCCTACTTTGAAACAACTGAACCAACCCCTACTGGAAACAAAGTCTTTATCACAATCAACTTCATTTGTTTCACTTGCAGCTTTGAAATCATGGAAAAAGCTTTGAGCCTTTTCGTGCACTAAAGTAAGGTTAAATAAGAACCATATGCACTTTTTCTGACTCACCTACAAATTCGACTTAAAGACACACTTACAGAGGGATCTTGTTTGTAACCAGGGAGTGCCTGTATATTCTTTGAGACAGTAATACTACTTTAAAAGTTTAGAATAAGAAAATAATGAGGGATATAGGAAAAATATTTGAACAATTGTGTGCACTGTAGCATTGTGTATAATAAAATACTAGAAATAATCCAAATATGCAGTAATATTGAATAAAAGTACAAACACAAAAATGCATATACTGTAGTTATTTAATATGAAAAAATATGTAATGACATGGAAAGACATTCATGACTTATTAAATGAAAAGGAAGAATATAAAATATTATGTTTTGTATGCGTCCATTAAGAAAGACTTTCACTCTAGAAAGATAAAGAAGTACTCCTCCTCATTCCTCCTGCTAAGTACTTGGAAGGATAAAGCAGGGCAGCTAGGGGCCTTGGGCCCCAGGGGAAAACATAGTTATGAGTTCTCTAGGTTCTTGTGTAGCCTCACAGATCCCAGACTCAATGCTGGTAAAGGCAAACTGGAGACACGAATGAGCACTGCAAAAAAAAAAAAAAAGACCCAACCAAAGCCTGTTCTCTAGCCAAAAGACCAAGAAAAGGGCAACCTAGAAAGACAATAACCATTTCTACTACATCGAAACATCACAGAAAAAACTCTCTTTCTTCTATCCCTAGCAGCAAAAGCTGAATGGGAAGCCAGACTGCAACCTTCACTAGGTTATAATGAAGCTCCCAAAACCCCACCACCACCACCACCAGGATGGTGTCAGAGAAAGGTGAGGAGGGAGCAAGGACTTTCATTCCCATTGAATGGTGATAAGGATCCCTCACCACATTCCCACATGGGGGGTATGGACTTCTACCCTTACCCAGTGGTAATGAGCCATCCCTTTCGCTCCCTGCCAGGGTGGTGTCAGAGGAGTCTTAATGGAGATTCGAGACATTCCCACTGCCTAGAAATAATGAGATGACCCCTAAGCTGGGTCAGTGAATGCCATATGAAGAACAGTAATAAGGCACTCCTGCCCCTCCCAGCCAAGATGGTACCAGATGAGGCCTATTGTGGAGCTAGAACACCTATCCTGCCCAACAGTAACGAAGAACTCCTCTGCCCCACAGATGTCAATACAAACCAAGTGGGAAAGCTGAACTTCCACCCCAACCTGGCAGTAACAAAGCAACACCACCTCTTCCCTTGCCAGAGTAAGTCAAGAGAGGTCAGCCAAAAATGTACATATAACAAACCCAGAGTCTTATAGCAGAATACCCCAAGTATTTAGATTTCAACTGAAAATCACTCATCATATCAATAAACAGGAAGATCTACCTTGAATGAGGTAAGATAATCAATAGATGCCAGCATTGAGATGATAGAGATGTTAGAATTACCTGAGAAAGGATTTTAAAGTAGCCATAATGAAAATATTTCAACAGCAGTTACAATCACATTTCAACTAATGAAAACTTAGAAAATCTCAACAAAGAAACAGAAGATAGAACCAAATGGAAATTTTAGAACTGAAAAATTCAATAACTGAAATAAAAATCTCACTGAATGATCTCAGTGGATGAGATGAAGACAGAGGGGAGAAGGCAGAGGGAAGAATGAGTGAATTGAAAGACAGAACAATAGAAATAATAACCAATCTGAAAAACAGAGAAGAAACAGTCTAAAAAAACAAAGCAAGGAAACATCAGGGGCTCAGATGTTGTGGGACTGTAACAAAAGATCTAATACTCATGCCATTTGAATTCCTGAAGAAAAGGACAAATTGGGCAGGGCTGAAAAAGTTTTCATAGATATAATGGCCTGAAAATTTTCCATACACCAAAAATTCATGTTTTTACCAGTTCATCTCTTTGCAGGTCTTTTAAAGCAAAAATTTCCTTCCCCTTTTCATTGAACAATCTCCGAGCTGCAGAAGGTAATTTTAAATTTTCAGTGCACCTGTAATATAAGACACACACAAAAATTGATCTTGCATGGAAAAATCTTCCAGTAGAGAAGAGAGAAAATGAAAGATATCAAAGACCCGAATCTCTAATGAGTACTCCCTCTGTAGGACTAGGAGACAGTCAAGAGCCAGGCTCTACAGTCTATCCAACCCCCTTTGGGCCTCTTTCTCTTCAAGTTGTGAGACTTGGGCAAATTATAACCTCTCTGAGCCTAAATTTCTTACTTTCCAAGGTTGTTGTATGGATTAGGATTAATGTTGAAAAGTGCTTAGCACATGCTGGGAGTGTCAATAAATAAACACATATCATTATTGACTTTTAATTCTTCAATATCCCCCATACTCTCCTATTTCCATGCCTTTGTTTATGCTCTTTCTTCTGCTCAAAATAGCTTCCCTGGATTTTTCTATTGAAGTTCTACCTATTCTTCAAGTCTTCCAAATGTTTCACCAAGCATTTCCTCATCTTCCACTAAAAGTGATTTCCTGAGACTTTTAACTTCCTATGGAAAAGGAATTTTAACATGGTTAAACATTAAGTAGTGATTTCTTCACACACATACACACCCACACACCCAAACAAGCATTGGATCAGCCCTGTGACTACCAAGATAAATGGCACAGCTTCACTGTTGCCTGAGGAGCTCTCAATTGTCATAGGAATCTGGCCAGTATGCTGAGAATACAGATGGAGAAACAATAAATCCCTCCAAGGTAGACATATCTAAAGAGGAAACATGTGGATTGAACTTTGAAGGAGTTCATCAATGTTAGGACCTAGAGGAAGAGTTTTGTTTGACTGGAATTAAGAGTATGAAAAGGAAGAGGGGAAGGATGAAGGTGGAAAAGAACATGTGCACCCATTTGAAAACACTTAGGATGCCAGGGTCATGAACACGGTCCCTATTCCATAAACATCAGGAAGCCACTGAAGGTATGAGAGCAGAAGTATACTGCTATCAGATTTGTTTTTCAGAAAGTTAACTCTGTCAGAGGTGTAGAAGATGAACTGGAAGTGGGAGAGGTGACTATGACCTCTATAGCCAGTTTAGGATAGAGGTAAAGAGGTAAAATTGTGAGGAAGGAAGAGGAGAGCCAAAAGAGAGTCATGGGACATTTCCCTAAGAACACTGTTGTGATGCTCCTGCCTTCAGAAAAAAAGAAAGTAAATGATTCTTACTTACTAAATTTTATGTTTTTAGTCTTATCAATGAGCACTGGTGGTTCAAGGTTTAAGGCATTCAGCTGCTAACCGAAAGGTAGGCAGTTTGAACGCACTAGTGGCCCCATGGGAGAAAGATGAGACAGTAATGCTCTGGTAAAAATTTACAGCCTTAGAAACATTATGGGGCAGTTCTACTCTGTCCTATAGGTTCCTTATGAATTGGAATTGACGTGAAGGCAGTGGGTTTGTTTTGGTTTGTTTTATCAGCAAGACTCAGGTATGTAAGCAATATTTCTTTTTTCCTTAATGGGGTAAAGCAATTGAGCAAATAATTGTTGTTGTTGTTGTTAGGTGCCATGGAGTCGTTTACGACTCATAGCAACCCCATGCACAGCAGAACAAAACACTGCCCGATCCCGCACCAGCTCCATGATCCCTGCTATATTTGAGCCCACCATCGCAGCCATTGTGTCAATCCCCTCTTTCATTGACCCTCCACCCTACCAAGCATGACATCCTTCTCCAGGGAATGGTCCCTTCTGACAACATGACCAAAGTCGATGAGACGAAATCTGGCCATTCTCACTTCCAAGGAGCATTTTGGGTGCACTTCCTCCAGGACAGATCTGTTAGTACTTTTAGCAGTCCATGGCACTTTCAGCATTCTTCGCCAGCACCGCAACTCAAAAGCATCAACTCGTCTTCGGTCTTCCTTGTTCATTGTCCAGCTCTCGCTTGCATATGAGGTGATTGGAAATATCATGGTTTGTGTCAGGCGCACCTTAGTCCTCAAGGAGACATCCTTGCTCCTCAGCACTTGAAACAGTTCCTTTGCAGTTGACCTTCCCAGTGCTACACGCCATCCAATGTCCTGACTGCTGCTTCCATTGGCATCGATTGTAGAACCAAGCAA